AATATGAAAAGCTACCTCTCCCCCCTCCTCACCCCCACTCCTCCGTACCCCTCATACCCCCCTCTCTTCTTCCTCCTTCACGTTAACACTTGCGCCGCTTCTATCCCACTTCCTGCCTCCACCGAGCCGGTTCGCATTGGCATGAATGCCCGTTCTTGTCTCGTCTCTCTTCCTTCCCTCACTCATTCTCTCCATATTTTTCACCTTCTCCCTTATTCCAAGCTCTCGTTCGTTCTTTCTTTCTTTCTCTTTGTCTGACTCTGAATGTCAGTCCAACCTTGAATAGTACACACTCAGGTTGAGCTCCTCAGTGTGAATGAGTGGCGCTATACTGCATGAGTAAATGAAACTGAAAACGTCACAGCAGTTTGATAAATATAGACAGTTCTGCATGGAGACAGGCCAGCGTTTTTGTTTTTGCACCATGTGCCGACATAATGCTCCCTTTATCACACCATTTCTTAATATATTCAGCGGCAATCCTGCTTTGTTGGAATCGCTTTGATGAGATCAAGGGTAAATTAATAGATTAAATCAAATGTTTTTTTTGTCTGAAAACAGAACAAGGTTGTGAGCTTTGTGCACCATACTTCCCACCATCTCACCCACCACCACTGACATAGTAGTTCATGTATGACACACATTTCACATCGGTGTGTGTTCAGGTGTATGTGTGTGTGAGTTTGTGTCCACCGTGTTGAAGTTTTGTGTGTTTTTGGTGTCGGTGACAACACGACCAACTGATTTAAAGCCAACTGTAAATAGGAAAGTTTCACACTCTCAACATTTGCGAGAGATTATCTGTAACCATAATAAGTCTCTTCTGATTGTGCTCTTGCCTTTCTGTACATATGTCTGCTTTTTTTGGATGGTCCTTGTGTTTTTTTCAATGCAAATATAGCATCACCTTGAATGCAGCAATATTCCAAATTACCTGCTTTTGTGAATATCTCCTGATCTGTAGACTGTAGATGTTTTCATCTCCATATAATTTTGTTCATGATGTTTTTATATGTAGGGTCAAGGTGCTGCAACTTGTTAGATTAATTAAAATTGCTACTTTTAATATTTTTAAGCTTCCCATCAAATTGACTGAGACTTACCGTTAAAGATCTGTAAAAGTAGACCACTGTGGAGAAAATTGGTTGCCTCAAGATCACATTTCCCTTGAACTCCAGTGCTTGATGTTTCTAGCTTTCTCTATTCACACTGGCTCTACTTATACGCCACACAAATCGTAAAGTGATTTCTCCATTGGCCTCCCAGCATTAGTCTTTATCATCAAAAAGCTTAAGCTCTGTTTGCACTGGAAGGATGACGGCCAGTTCCCGCAAATCTCCTAACAAATCTGACCAGACAAATCTTGGAAACTAGAAAACATGCACAGTGTGCAACCTCTGCCAAGGCTGAAATATAGCTCTATGGTTATGTTTTAATCGTGGAAATTTTAGGTTTTTAATCCCAAATTTGGATCTGCATTAAAATATACATTGATAGTGCTTTGTTTCGATGCTGCTGTAGCACTTCCGAAATGGGTGTTGCCATATCAAGTTCTTCAAATTAAATTCAAAAGGGTGGAAAATCTGCAGATTTACAGATTCATCTTCAACCTTTAAAACCCAAGAAAACTGAATTTTACTGATACATCTCGCTGTTTAGTTAGTCAGTGCGGAGTGACTTATACGATGTTTGGTCTATAAATTGGCCACACGGTGGTGCTATCTCCACCTTTTCTCACTGTTCATCAATTTCCACCAATTAAATTCATCAAATTCAAGTCCAACAGCCTGCTAACTTACAAACCAAGAAAGCATTAAACACATAACCTCCTTCGTGGAGGTAAGAATGTAAAGGCAGCCAGTCTTCTCAGCAGTGCTTTCAGTTGTTTGCAGTAAAGATTTAAAAATTATGACTATGTTAAATGGGACATGTAGCACTTTAGATAAACTCAATAAAGGCCTATCTTAAATTGCCTGAGAATGGAATGTATTTAATAAGAAATCCTCTATACGAGGGACCTTGAGGTTTGTTAAATGCTTGTATAACACGGCTGTTTCTTTGTCTCCTACTTTCCCCTTCACCTCCGCCCTTATCCCTCCTTTCTCTTTTCACTCTCTTCATCTTGTTCTTCACCTTCCCTCCTCCCCTCCCCTTCCTCCTTCCTTTCCTTTTCTTCTTTCTCCGCCAGCAGCAGGCACCACAGCCAGCTCCAACGCCGGTGCCATGAACTCTCTAACCTCTCTGGGCACCCTGCAGGGCCTGGCAGGTGCCACTGTGGGCCTGAACAACATAAATGCACTAGCAGGTAGCATCAACAGTGAGTATTCACCCTGTCATCAGCCATTCCACCTTCACCTACACCTCCACTCCTGACCATCCACATCCACTGGCAACATCACTACCACAACGTGTGAGTCGATGCAGAGAGACGCAGCAGTGCAGCTACCCAACACGGCAAACATTAGAGTTTGATTGAAATGGGTTTTTGAAGGCCGTTGCATATGATTTGTTTAATTAAAACTGATAATATCTCATATTTAATCTTTAATTTTGACAAATTTAAAGACAAAAAAAGATTTGTCACTACAACTGTACATTAAAACCTGCAGAATTTGTAGTACTATAGTGTGCTATAGTATATTTAATGTCATTAAACAAAGGCTGACTATAAAAAAAAACCCATCTAGATGTCCGACTCTAATGTCTGTGGATGTACAGAATTTTAGCATACCTACATGGAAATAGTTTATACTTTATGTACATACTTTAGATATAAACTCACAGGTTGAAATTGGACAGTTGTCTGTTGATATTTGAGATTTAAATCAATCAGTTACTTAATTTTAGACAGTAAAGTCTATATTTTACAACAATGAAATATGGAATAAGAGAAATGCATAACAAAGAATGATAAACAGATGAAGAAATACATAAGAAATGTATTCAGAATGTATATATTTGTAGACAAATGGACAACAAACACCAAACTAGAGTCTGGAGTTTGGTTCCTCCGGTCGTCTCTCTGTGTCTCACTTTCACTTTATAATAAATTGTCCTCTCTCTCTACTTCATTAACTCATCTGGCCAGAGATATTTCATCCATTCATCCATCCAATCCTCCATTCTCTCCATCCGCTTCCTGGTTGTGTCCTGGGTTATGCTTGCTGTAAGAGTGCTGTGGTGCCATCCGGGCAGAGCTGACATGCTGCTGTCACCTCACGCGTCTCTGTGTGGGACAATGTTGTCTCACATTGTGTTGTTTTGTTGTGTCATTGTTGTGTCTTCTGTCATCTGTACAAGGGGATTGAACATTTAGATGGTTGCAAGGGAAGAACTAATTCTGTGAAGATTTTATGTCCTCAAAATCAGAATTTGATCATTTTCTTATAAATAAATAAAATACAACATTTGACAAATTTCCCTTCCAGTACAGACAAAATATTGTAATGTTCATGCCAAAGATCCTAAATCATATTTAAAAGAATCATTTACAAATCAAATTTGAAAGATTTTGTGCCAGATACATATGATTAAATATAATTAGACCACTTTAATCCAAGGAAATACAAATCTGTCAAATTCCCTACCCAGTAAATACATATCTGTTCAGTTGCATGTCAAAAATACAAATTGTGGCAAATTTTATGTTAAAAAAACAAAATATGTTAATTGAAATGCCAAAAATCTTAAATTTGACCATTTTCATACACAAAACATTCTAATCGTGTTCATTTATGCTAAAACAAACTACAATCGTAAAGTAAGTAAGAGTAAATTCAAAAGATAAAATAAATTGACAATTTTCTTGCCAAAATCTTTGTTCTCATCAGGAAGATAGGAAAAGACAATATGGGCTAACTAGTGTTAGTGTTATGATGGCAGTTGTAGGGCAGCTGGTTTAGTAGTCAGGTTTTATTTCAAAGTATGGTCCATCCAGAGCAGATACACTTGTTACACTTATACCGCGTGTGAATTGTATCGACTACACAGTCTGCGTGGTCCACCGGCGTCTGCCGAGCTGCGTGCTGTGTGTCCTGCCTTTGACCTCTGGGAAGACGGGGTTGGGATCTTAATCAGCGCTGTTATTACAGCAGAGATCCTGTACTACCGGCCTCTTCCACCACATTATTCTCCTCTGACCTTTACCGCTCCTCGGCTGGAGTAGGTGTATCCGCGGTGTAAATCATATACGTGTCTACTCGAGCGCACACAGGTACAGAAACACAAGACATGCGGGCACACGTGCACACACACACCTTTCAAACAGAATGGGCTACTTTCTTTTTGCATCCCATTTTGTCCCAGCTAACCCATCCCTCCTCATTGTGCGCCCTCCTCATCCCTCCACCCACCACCAACCGCCCTCATTTAAACACATCTAGGCTTTAATTGAATTGCAAAGGTCACCAGTGCAATTATTCCTGAATAAATGAGTGACCTATAATCCACAGCTCTGCGGTGATAATTTATTTCACTGTGTCTGACGGTGAGGCGACAGGACGCCGAGCCAATGTCAGACCCCCTCAGACAAGTTGCCCTCCGCCGTGATATTAAGCCGTTACAAGCAGCTAATGAGTGTTACCGCTGTGTTCCTTCACTTTTTAAACTCGAACCCCCCCTTCCTTCCCTCCTCGCGCCACGTGCCTGTCTTCACCCCCAAAGTGAGACGTCACAGGCTGGGAAAGCACATCAAGTCACATCACGCTGTTAATGTCTGACTCCTCTGTAGGGTGGATTATAAAGACAGACCATTATGGGATTTCACATATCAGTACCAATGCAGATTATCTGTCAGTACCTTTTTTGTCATTTTATTAGGGTGTCTTAAAAAATACCCCTACCTGCATGTCCTGGACTAACTGCTTTTATATTTTGGGCTATTTGTTATGTGGATGAATCAATTCATTTGTGGAAGACAAAAAATGACAGTTCTTCACGTAAGACATTAAAACTAAATAATTCAGACATTAAATGAAAAAGATGAAAGACAAAGTCAAGAAAATATATACTGCTGATGTGATAATAGCCTAAAAGTTTAATTAGAAGAGCATTCTGTTAATTTAAAGTAAGAGTTTGCAAAAATGCCTACTAGAACCTCTAAAACTCACATCATGTCAGTTAAATGCGTACACAAACAGAAATATTACACTTATATTAGTCCCTAATCCCTAAGTTTAGTAGGCTTCATTGTCCAGAAACACAGCTTACTACACTACCCATAATTCAAATGGATGGCCACTTAAAATTAAAAAATGTTAAGTTGGGACCCTCGTCACGTCCTTCAGCAGGTCTTCTTAGTGGCCAGTGCTGCAGCTAATAGAGTAAAAGGAGCCCACAGCTAATGAAAATACACCAACACAAGAACAGTTTTAATGACCAAATGGGGGCCAACCGGGGAAAATGTGTCCCTTTAGGAGGCCCTGCATTACTAGCCCCTGTAAGTGTGTTTTCATGTGATCATTCTGGCGTTTTTCATTTTGGTCTTAGTGTTTTGTAGACACTTCTGTTTTCTTAGTGTGTTTTTGTGTGCGTGCATTGCATCGCTGCGTGCTTCCGATCTGGAGTACACCTGTGTGCAGCTCTGGCTGTCATCAGCTACACTCATACTGTACTTTATTGTGTTTAAACTAATACTCTGTGTGTCCTGTGGTCTGACGTGTTAGCTGTCGTGTTTTGTTGTTAGACGCAGTATTGATGTCTTTTTGTGTGTGACGTTGACATGTGTGTAACTAACAGTATTGTCTGTGTGTACGTCAGTCTGTGTGTGTGTGTGTGTGTGTGTGTGTGTGTGATGTCTTGTAACAGTTGTGTAGGATTTTGTGTGTGTGTTAGTGTGTGTATGTGTGGTAAAAACACAACCTTCAATGGGAGCGCTAATGAGTAAGTGCACTCTTCTTTCTTTATTGTTGGGTTTTATGTAAAGTTGCTCAAATGCTCTCAGGTATGGCGGCTCTTAACGGAGGCTTGGGCGGCGCAGGGCTTACCAACGGGACGGCAGGCACCATGGACGCGCTGACGCAGGCTTACTCAGGGATCCAGCAGTACGCCGCCGCAGCGCTGCCCACCCTCTACAGCCAGTCCCTGCTGCAGCAGCAAGGGGCTGCTGGCAGCCAGAAAGAGGGTCAGTAGCCTGGGGCCATCTGTCTGCACATCACTGCTGCTCAGTGGGAGATTATTTACAGCACTTTTTCACATTCAGTGTTTCCTCCAGGTTTTATTTTGTAGAACAGCAAATAGACAGCATGATACTTTTAAACTCCAGCTGAAACCTAGGATGATTATAATTGTGATTAAAATAAAAATAATTCTTAGTAATATTTAGGTAAAAGTGTAGTTCAATTCTACAGTTAATATGTACCAAAAAACCCAAAGAGACATCTGGATTTGAAGTTGTGTTTCCTGCTGCTAAGACACATTAAATTGACAAGAGCAGCTCAGAAAATGCTTCTAGTAATAGAAGATGATGAGAAACACAAATGAGTTGCTTATTTAGTAGAAAGAAAAATCTGAACTGGGTGCTTTTGTTGAAATTGGGGGAACATTTTGTATTGTTCTTTTTTTTTTAAATTCAGATTAAACAAAAAAATCCCTGAAAATACTCCACTTTAAAACACTCTTACCAAAAAATTACATTTGTTTATGAAAGCCATTTTTATGCCCATTCTTCGACGGAGAAAAACAGAGGAATTATTTTGAAGAAACTTATATTACTTTAATATGACAAAATGTCTGTTTAATCAGACTTCTCTATGAATATCATCAATATTTTTGTTGATGATTGTACAGTTCATTGTGGAAGAGAAAATGTAAAATTGATCAGTCTACATATCAGCACTGTTGCAAAGTACCACCTTCACACAGAGCCTGGTGGCTGAAGTTCAATTTTCCCAAAAGCTTTAACAGCAGTGTTGAATACAAACCAGATGATGAAATGTAAAGTAAAAGAAACAGAGCCACGTACTGTTTGTTTGTCCACTTCTAATCTCTGCTTCCAACAAAGATCCATTGGTAAAGATGCTTTTCTTTCTTTGACAATCCATCCAGGAGTTCAAAACCCTCCAGGGAGACAAAGATGTGACAAATACCGGGCTCCATTCCAGCTTCATTTAGCAAAGGAGAGCATATTTAATGATTCTGAGAGATCTGACCTATGTGTGATAGAGTGGGGCGGTTCGACCTATGACCCCTCTTAAGAGAGACAACATGCAGCTGAAAGAATGAATGAATCAAAAGCAAGAGAACAGGGAACTACTTTTATAAGCAGAGAGCCAAAATATAATTTTTAAATGAAAACCAAAAGCTTTCATCTTCATTTAATGTTCAATACAATCGCAGAATGTTGTTTAAAAGCAATAACAAACTCAAGGTCACGCGATATTGTGCTAAGCGGTGTGCTTCAGCTGCGTTCCTATGACGACAGCACAGCGGTGCCAGTTGCCACAATGCAGCGCTCCCTCTCCTGCAGCTTTGTTTAATGAAAAACCACTCTGACCTTATACCCGCTCTGCATCTCGTCCCGCCAGGTCCCGAAGGTGCCAACCTGTTCATCTACCACCTGCCCCAGGAGTTTGGAGACCAGGACATACTCCAGATGTTCATGCCTTTCGGAAACGTGGTCTCTGCCAAAGTCTTCATCGACAAACAGACAAACCTTAGCAAGTGCTTCGGTACGACAGCAGTGCACGCGACAGTGTGTGCTCCCAAAGAATGGAAACGCACATAAATGCCTGCAGTTATCTGTCCTTTTTCTTTACTAGCTGTCCCAGTTCAGGGGCTGGATTCTCTGAAGGCCAAGTTGAACATACCATGTTCATATCACAAGAGATTTATTTTACTGACTTGCCATTCACCTCAGCACTCAAGTCATGATTACAACTGAAAAACAATTCAGAGTGCTTGAAAAGGCCAAAAAGTATGGATGCCCTATGTCGACTAAAGACAGTCGTGCCAAAAATAATGAATTCAGGCTCTCCTCATCAACTCGTAAAGTCCAAAATATTCAGATGTACCACTATGAAGTTACCCTTAAATAGCCAGTGATAGACTAAACATGTCATGGCTGTTAACAAAAACTAAGCTCCTGTGGCGTTTATGTCTGCCTTACATTACTTACAAAATAAAAAAGTCAAATTTGGTAACACTTTGTTTCACAGGTCCCATAGTTTCCTAATTATTTTAGACAGGAACTAAATTCTTAAGAAAGTTCCTGAAAACCACCATTTGGCACTAATTATAAGAAGATTTTAGATGGTGTTCAGTTAATTACCAGCATAGCGTAATGTAGAAAGTCTTAAGTGCACACCAGGTCAGCTGCGAACATGGACAATTTGTCCACAGGCAAGCGTACAGCTGTCAAATATGGAGAGTAAAGATTCCATTAAAACATAAATATTTACTTTGGTTTAAATGGGTTTTTTGCAGTTTTGAATATTTAAGCAGGTAGGTAAGGAAAATCTGCTGGAAATCAATAACTCCTCCGTATGAACTCAATACAACTCATTAAACTCAAATTACTGTCTCACCCCCATTGTCTCTATCTTCTCTTAAGATTAGTACCAAATTACATATTCTTTCTATGAAACTTTGTGGTAAATTATTAAGAAACTACAGGAGCTACTCAAAATCCCCACTACCTGTGACTGACGAAAACTCAAATCCAAATACCTGATGAACATTTTCCTGCATTTCCCTGTGATATTTCCAGACCTAACGAGTTGACAAGGATCATTTGAGTGCTGCGGGAAACAAATGACAGACTCAAAATGGGCTGTGAGACATTGAGGGCTGCAAAGGACACACTGGTTGTGTCCTCCAAATTCAGGCAAAAGAGGTTATGTTCCTCAGCCACATTTATGGAAGCTATTCAAATGGGACAGGCCTGATTAAAAGGGAACCAACCCTGAACTGGGACATCAAGTGACTCTTTTCCACCTGGTATTAACATTCTGACTGACAGAGCAAAAAAAAAAAAGGTTAAATGCATTTTAAGTGTACTGTAGATTTTGATTTGCATAGTATTTGTCCATGTTGACAACAAAACCGAAATATAATGCACGTTCCTCGTGTAGCAACTAAGGGCAACAGAAATAAATCAAGCATGGATCCGGGAAGGAAAACAGAACACAAACAGACAGCAGTGATACTTGTCAGAAAATGAATTGCGAGGATGGATGTGAGACAAGCGAGACGATGAGTTTACTGTCAGTTTTAGAGGTTGCAGATATTACAAGAGGAAGTGAAGTGTGTACGAAGATGGCTTTGTGAGGGACAGCAAAGAATATAAAACACAATATAACCTCACTGTCAGCGCCACAACCATTATTTTGACATTTTGACCAACAGTGACCTTTTGTCATGTTGTCTGTATGATATTTTCGGAGCAGATACTGTGTCTCCTGTCAGATTTTTTGAAAAGTATTTGTGTCAGGATTGTACTGCCGTTATTTCGCAGACTCATGATGCTTCAAATTGGAAGTGTCACTACAACCCCTCCCCCCCTTATTTGTTTTACTATAGCTTTATTCTTTCATAATTTTGTTGATGCAACAACCCAGTTCCCCTCCAGGAGTCATTAAAGTTTAATCTTTTCTTATTGTGTACCAGGGGGGTATTTTAATGTAGATGTAAATGTAATCCGGCTAAATCAGATCTTGAGACACAGAAACACGGTGAGGGTCCCTCGCGTAGTATTTTAACACAAGTTTATTATAACACCTTAATTTTGAGACAGTATAGTTGCTGTAAATAAACAAGTAGAAGTCTGTTTGGCTGTATTTTATATTGTCAGATTTGGAAGGAAATCTGATGCAGTGCTTCATGGCACAAAACAAAGAGAAAAGGAATGAAAATCTTTGATTGCAGAAGTGAAATTATTTTATGTTACACAGGAAACAATGAGGATTATGGAAGGATTAGGGAAATGTGGTCTTCATTTTGAGAGATTCTAACATAAACAATACAACTGGAGGCAACCAACCATGGTCTCATTAAACCATCCATGCTTGCATTTTCTGCTGCTTATCCAGGTCTGGTTCACTAGCCTGTTTCCGGACCTCCGACCGGGCCAAATCCAGATGAAACATTTTCCAAGAAAGCTTATCATGGAGCGTTAGCAGACACAGGCTAGCAGACACAGGCTAGTGGAGACAGTGTGGATATGCTGGCTAGCTATATTATTATTATATTACAATCCTGCTCATGCTGCTACTCGCTATTTCTTTTTGCTAAGTTAAATTCCTGCTCCTTGAAGAAAACACTAGATATTTCAGCATGATTTAGTGATATATCTTATGCCAACCAAGCTTTATTAGTTTAATAATTCAATGTTTCAAAACGCTTCCTGTTGCGACTTTAATGCCAAGTGGAAAAAGGACCGGTAGCTATGCCACGTTGTCACATTCTTCTCAGTCCATTTCCTTCCGTTTTTTAACCAACTATCCACTTTTCTCTGGCGCCCCCCGCAGGCTTCGTCAGCTACGACAATCCAGTGTCGGCACAGGCAGCCATCCAGGCCATGAACGGCTTCCAGATCGGCATGAAGCGGCTGAAGGTGCAGCTGAAGCGCTCCAAGAACGACAGCAAACCGTACTGATCTTAGCACTAGGGTCTATCTGCTCCCCATGTTAGCACTGCTAGGGTAAGTCCCCCCACAAAAAGAAAAAATGAAAATGAAAAAAAAAAAAAAA